TTTTATCTTTTTTATTGTAAGTACTTGTTCTATTCTATTTTAATCAAAGCCACTTTTTTTAAATACCAAATCATAAAAATAAATCGCTAAAATATTAAAATTCTCGACATGTAACACGTATTTTAGCATTGAGGAATATTATATATGTTTCCCAATAAAGGAATTAACAGCTTCCTAAGAATTGATTATACTTAGAAAGGTGAACTTCAAAACCTCTAGATTAGTTTTTTTTATTGGTACAAATTAAATTGGTGCTTTGAAATGTATATACATTAGTAGTTTATCAAAAGGATACTCAATGTCTCTCTTCTTGTAAATGAAGTCTTGAAGTCTAGATTATTGAATTTGTTTTGTTTTATTTTGGATAAATATTATCATTTCTTTCTTTTCTCTCCTTTTAAGGCATTTGGGCTTTCTCTGATTACAAACTATTGTCAGCTATGGATGGTCATAGTGCGCTGTCGATTTTGTCCTCCTCTTATTTTCTTCCTGCTGACCTTTAATACCCAGAGAGAATGCTGATAAATAATGGTATTCTATTTAATGATTCTATCTAATGGTCTAAAAATAGAACCATGAAGTGTGTACTTTGTTTGATCCTATCTTGGTGAAAGCAATTGTGATTATTGTTGAATTTTACGATTTTTTTACCTTAATAATTTTTTAAAAACAAGGGAAGTACATTAGGCAATTTGGGTTGAAAACTTGACCGTAATAATTCTTCAGTTTTATAAACTTTTTGCCAGTTAGTTGACATTATTATAACCTACATTATAAAATGATTTATAGTCTAAATTTTGTAAAGTTCATTTTGTGACACTTTCACATCTTAATCTTGATAATTCCACGTACATTCTATGAATACTAAAAAATCAAAATTTTAATTTCATAAATTTTAAAAGTAAGCTAGAAAATTTACTTTTTTCTAAAAGACTTCCTAACACTCATTAATGTAAGTAAGAATGTACAGGAAAACTTTAAAAAGCAGTTTGATCATATTTTATCTTTTCGTCAAAATTAAATGGATATTGACTAAATAAACATTGATGGTATAGCCTAGTGATGTTATAAAATTCTACTTAGGTTAGTATCTGGAATGGTAACTTTGAAATTCAGGTTGTTTTTAGTTCTCTTTGAGTTTTAAATTAGTGTTCCTCTCTTCATAAAAATACCTAATAGATCTATTCCAATAAATACTTTGAAAAATATTAGAGTAATAAAATTGTTCCATTGCTGGAAACTCTACAACTGAATGCAATTATTATGTGGTTGGTTATTCTTGTCAGATTATTCTTTTAATTTAATAGGGAAAAAAAAGAAATGAAAAATAAAATCAAACAGAACACTAGCTTCCTAAATAAATACTCCATGATTTGTTCGATTCTTGCTTAATTTTGTTTGCAAAATCATGACAAAAGACGGTATTCATAAAGATGACGCAGCTGTTATAGTTATAACTGGAATCAAGAATTAGGAGAGCATACTGGATTGCAATCAATTGCATTTACGTTTGATAATATATTGATTATGCTCCTTTTTGTCTATTCCAGAGATTTAGTGCCTAGAAATTTCATTTATTAGGTAATGATATTTTTTAACTTTTCTATTTATGAACAGGCAAAGTGTTGATATCTTATCTAATCGGTTATCTTTCTATCAACCGCTATCTGAGAAAAAATTGATGTGAACTTTTAAAAAGCGTTTGAAACGGATAAGGCGGATTACTCCACGGTAAGGTATTCAGTCTTATTTAAAACTGAATCACTGCGCACAAGGAACGGTTTAAAAATAACGGAACTTGGATCCGTTTCATCTTGCTACTAAAATCAATCTTAACCATGGTAAACGTCATTCCATTCTTTATAGCCAAGTTTTGATGGATTAGATAAAATTAAGGAAATTTGTGACATTTATGTTAAGAAATAGAGCTTAGGTAAAATATACCCAAATTACCTAATTCCAGAATTTTAAATGGGCATGTACATGACATCATTCCTATTGGTAGTTATCGTTGACTCAGATTGATACTGCTCTACACTTCTACTTTTATGCTTGCTGTAACAATAAAAGAAATTACACTAAAATACTGTATCCCATACAAGTATAACAGAATTATAGTTGAAACAATCCAAGTTATATTACATTTTTGCAGTTATTTGAAGTAGTGAAATTCTTCAGATTTGAGGTTAAAATTGTCTTGGAATGCTCTGTTTCCTTCTTAAATGGTACCAATTTATGGTAGTGATATTTTGAGAAGCAAATTCATTACAAGAATAAACTCTACAAATTGGATACTATATTGGTATAAATATTTCTACATGGAACTGCTGGTTTACAAATCAAAAATCGAATGTCAATTAAAAGGCAATTATATTTTCCTATAATATATATTGTTATGATTGTCCAATAAATAAGGAATGCTATTTAGACAAGGTAATCACTTTTTTCTAACACCAATTATTTCGAAATATTTTAGTTTCTAGTCCATATCAGAAAAGCAAATATGAATTACAAGTGAATAATTATTATGGTGTGTAAATAACAACTAACTAAAAGAAAATTTACAATAGCAGAATTTGACTTCTAAAAAGAAAACTAACCAGTAGTTTTTATAATTTGATATATTATATTTTTCCTCATCAATACTGGTTTATTTGAAATTTTACATCTTATTTAATTCAAAAAAAAATTTCTGATATTAAAACTTAATATCAGAAGGTATAAACGAAATCAAAAAATTTTAATAGCAGAATAGATCAGCAATTAATAGTTTCCACTCAAGATTATATTTTATTTACATCCTTTTCAGTATTAGGTTAATAATTTTCTATATTTAATTTATCTCACTGAATATTATTTGATGCTTTGATCAATATTACCAAAACGTATATTTATTTTGCTGATATGAACTAGAAATTAACAGATCCCAAATAGGATATAGCTCAGGAGATTACTTATGAAACTTCAAACTGGATTTGATTTTTAAGTTGTTACTATAAGTCTAAACGAGTTGAGGAGTGGCTAGAACGTAGAAAAAATTGTTGGGCCTGAAACTTATTACAGTCGTATAAGTTATAATTAACCGCCATGACTTTCTCATAATACCTGTTTACTACAACAAAAGGATCTGTGAGTATAAGTTTAATTAATACCTCAAAATTAAGTTAAATGGAAAATTAAATTCCCATAGTCAGTTATTAAAAATATGAAGAGCTTGTTTTTTATTATTATCTTTGTAATTTTTTCCAGTCTGATTATTCTCCCCCATTTAATCAAAGTTTGTGGAAATTAAGTTTACGAGCGTATAATTATTTTAAAAGCTGGAAAAGGCAAATAATACAGTCGAAGGTATGCCTTTTCATTATGTAAATTATTTCTTTGCTAATGCGTTATTAAGAGACAAAACTTTGATATATTCGTAAATAAAAATTCGTTCCTGGATGTTGATTAAATATTCTTTATTCAAAAACGGTGGCAAAGTATTACTAAACCTAGGAATAAGATTATTGGCATGCAATTGTTGATAACTCAATAATTTAAATCACAATCGATTTATCAATAATAATTATCCACAAACTTATTGATATACATTCGTCTTGATATTTTATGTCTATAATTTGTTGCTCGTTTAGATTTTTTCAAATGCCGGGATGTCTTTCATTAATATCTTAACAAATTTCGTAGAAAAACAAATTAAATCGAAGAAAATGAAAATACCTGAAAAAACAGATGAAACAAGAGAGAAATAGACGAAATGGACATAATAGTATGATACCATTATTGGCATTTGCAATTTCATTCCAAAAATATTAAAATTTCTATTAAAATGGGTCAGGCTTGTTGAAATTTAGAATTCAAAATTTATTAATGGTGTTCATCTTAAAGTAAAGAAAAGAAAAGTAAAGTAAAGTAAAGTAAAATGAAATAGTAAATTAAATAACGCTCTCATATGTTGCAGCATATATCTATTGACATATGGTTGATACTCAATAGATCATAAAATAGGCTAAGAAATGATAAATAGCGTCATCGATCTAAGTGACATAGCTTTACTGAATCAACAAAAAATTTCAAATAATAACGTAATAACAATGCAAAATGGTTTAAAAAACAGCCAATTCCAGTTGATATCAGGTCCAAACTAAACGTCTTATTAATTCTAATTAATACTGACAATAAAAACAATCCATTCAAAAATGCTGATAGTATAAGCCATCTCGTTTGAAAGATAAACGATGGACTTGAATGGGATGGATCCACACTTTCTTCATTCTTGTGTTTCTGGCAAAACCAATGGCGGCATGCGGTGAATATTTCTTTACAATAAGGATGTTACAGAATTCAAGATAATATTAATTGATTGAAGTAATTAGGACCTCTACAGACAACACATTGGAGCTGCCAGGAATCAACCAGTAATCAACCAGTAATCAGCTTGAGAAAGTTGTTGGATTATTAATTTTTTGCTGAATGATATAATGTAATTTCCTAGAAAATATATAGATTCATCCTCGTATAATTTTTGTTTGACCTTTTCTGAACATATCTAATAACCTTAAATTTAAAAGAAGTTAAACAGCTAGATTTTTTTTACAATTATTAGATGCCAATAATTCTTCTAGTAGTAATCTACAATATGTACATGTTAAATTTAGCTGGAGTCTTCTTAACGAAGGCAATATTTTTTCTAAGTCTATTCAGCTTATTCATTTTCTTAATTTCTTACTACGTGAATTTTCTGTCCTTCGAAATTGCATTTTTTTTCTTTTTCTAAAAAAAAAAGTTGAAATTTCATCTGGTTCGAAATCGCCTTCGTTTAAGTGGTCAATTCAACCATCTTATTAAAAAATTTCGAAATAAATTATATATAAAAGAAAATATAATTTCTTATCCTATCAGAATCTTCAGATGATTTGTCTTGCAATATTATTATAATTATTAATTCTATTTAGATTCTAGAATACCAATTCACCAAGAAATTCAATCAAGAACCAGTCAATATGCCAGCCCCAGCTGATCCAAAGAACTTGTCTACTAGACAAAAGATGGAAGCTTTAATCCGTCGTAAACAAGCTGAAATTGTTAAAGCTTTAGAAACTCAAGATGATGTTAAATTCAGGGCTGATACTTGGACCCGTGGTAACGACGGTGGTGGTGGTACCAGTATGGTTATCCAAAATGGTACCACTTACGAAAAGGGTGGTTGTAATGTCTCTGTTGTTTATGGTCAACTTTCTCCAGAAGCTGTTTCCGCTATGAAACATGATCACAAGAACTTAGATTTGCCAACTGACCCTAAGACTGGTTTGCCAGCTGCCGATGGTGTTAAGTTCTTCGCTTGTGGTTTGAGTATGGTTATTCACCCACATAACCCACACGCTCCAACTACTCATTTGAACTACCGTTATTTCGAAACCTGGAACCCAGATGGTACTCCACAAACTTGGTGGTTCGGTGGTGGTGCCGATTTGACCCCATCTTACTTATACGAAGAAGACGCTGAAATGTTCCACAAATTACACAAGGACGCTTTAGACAAGTACGATGACAAATTGTACCCACGTTTCAAGAAGTGGGCTGACGAATATTACATGATTACCCACAGAGGTGAAACTCGTGGTATCGGTGGTACTTTCTTTGATGACTACAACGAAAAAGATCCAGAAGAAATGTTGAAGATTGTTGAAGATAGTTTCGATGCTTGGATCTCTGCTTACATTCCAATTGTCGCCAAGAGAAAGGACATGCCATTCACTGAAGAACAAAAACAATGGCAAGCTGTTAGACGTGGTAGATACGTCGAATTCAACATCATGTACGATAGAGGTACTCAATTCGGTTTAAGAACTCCAGGTTCCCGTATTGAATCCATCATGATGACTTTGCCAGTTCATGCTTCTTGGTTGTACGATTACCATGCTGCCCCAGGTTCTCATGAAGAAGAATTGATCAAAGTTACTACTACTCCAAGAGAATGGGTTAAATAAGCTAAAAGCCGGAGTTGACCTCTAGAAGCATGTCGATTTTAAACATTGATAAAATTTTATTTACTAATGAGTTTTCATGTAAAGAACTTTACTATTTATAAAATATAAATTATATAGTATCGATTATTTAATTTTAATGACTTTGATATAACTTACCTTTTTTTTTCTTCGTTAATTGAGTCTACAAACTTAAAAAAAGGTCGTCCTTCTATAGATGACTAAGAATGATCATTTTCAAATTGACTAAATAATACTATACAAAGGGGGGTTTTTATGATGCAGTTAATATGCTGATATTAAATTATTATATAAAATTTTATTACTCTCTATTTTACAATGTTTTGTTCCAAATCAAAGGCTTCGCCTTTAAAATATGATGATTAATCTGATATATTATTGTCTTTTTTGTTTATGAATGTTTTCATTGAAACCACATGCAGTTAAAAAAATTTAACATAACCAGTATATTATCTTTCCTACTATACTAGAATTTTTATATTCTTCTTTTTCTTGCCTGTTTATTTCAGCCATTTCTTCAGGATCGTAAATACGTCTATGGAAATCTAAATCAATTGATTCCAAAGGATTTAAGAAAGTGAAATCCTTTGCCCATACCATGTATCCAAAATAGAAGAATAACCAAATTGGGAAAGCCAAATAACTTTCAAAGAAAGATTCAGCACCAACTTTCTTACTACCGATTGGAGAAAGGGCAACCCAAAATTGGGCAGCAAAGACAAGAATGTTGAAAAATAGACCGTAAAATGAACCATATAAACCTGTTGATGCCAAGAAACCAACTTCTTTTATGTCTTTACCTTGTAGTTTCATGGCCCATCTAAAACGTATATGAGAAATGAAAAAAGCAGACCAGGTGAACAATTCACTTAAACCAGCAATAGCTGCTAACCAAGTGAAAACTTGTTCTTCCTTAGATGAAGAAGCGGCAAAACCGATTAAACCAAACAGAGCACAGATACCTAAGGATACCAAAGGTCTACCCTCTCTGTCAACATATGCCATAATTTTTGGAGCAAATCCCTGTTCAGCTAAGGAAACCATCATTCTTGGAGCTGCATATAATGCAGAATTACCAACTGAAATCAAAGCGATTAAAACAACTGCATTAATAAAGTGAGGAACAATTTTGACACCATGAATAGAAGCTGCTAAGACATATGGAGAAGCATGACTACCAGAAGCATCATCAGCACCCATCAATCTTGGGTCATTGTAAGGAACATTGAAACCAATTAAGATCATTGTCAATAAGTAAATGATTACAATACGGTAAATACTGTGTTTAGCAGCTTGAGGAGTAGACTTTCTTGGGTTTTCCTGTTCATTGACAGATAACACGAATAATTCGGTACCACCGTAAGAGAAATAACCTGTAACCAAAATATAGCATACACCTTTAAATCTGGAACCAGCAGTTTCACCAGCAAAAGCACCAGGATCATTCCAGTATTTGCCACCAATATAACCATCATTACCGGCACCACCAGCATTAATGACAATAGACAAAATAATGAAACCAATAATCATTAACACTTTACACAAGTTAAAGATAAATTCAGTTTCACCGTAGGCACGGACACCAACAAAATGAATAAATAATAAGAAAACGTAAAAGATAACGACAAAAACGTCACCACTGATTCTATCATTCCAGTACTTGATCGTTAATGATGCGGCAATAAATTCTAAAGGTAGAACGGTTAACCATTGAACGGCAGCCAACCAAACAGTAGCGAAACCGAAAGGTTTGGAAATTAAAATACCGAAATAAGAATTGAAATTACCTGGTAAAGTTGGATAAGCGACAGCTAATTCACCAGCTGCTTGAATCATGAAATAAGTGACAAAAGAAACCATACCATAACCAATAACTAAAGGAGCAGGACCTGCAAAATGTAAACCCTTGGCATTAGCGATCAAAAGACCAGTACCAATACCAGTACCTAGAGACATCATGACGACATGACGAGTTTTCATCTGTTTCTTCAAATGGATACCATCTTTTGATTCACCATCTTCGAAACCATCGATATGTTCTCTTGGATGTTCAGCTCGCTTATACGAATCTATCCATCTCCTTATTCTACCAGATCTGTAGACTTCAGAAGACTCCACTGAGGTACGCTCAGAAGTATCTATATCATTGAAAGATTTAAAGCCGCTGTCATTCCTTTGGTTTGAAGGGAAGTTGGACCCTGTGGTAGTAGTTGATTCTGAAACTATAACATCTGAAATTTTTTCCTCTGAGGAAACGATTGAATGTCTTTTCATTTAATTTTAATTTTAATTGGTATTAATAATATTAAAATTGATGAAAAAGAAAATAAAAATGTTGATAATGTAAAATGCAAAATAGTATATCTTCACTTTCAAAGAAGAATTCCTATCTAATGATAAATTTAAAACAATCTAATAGAAATGCCACTATGCAAAAAAATAAAGATGTGACGGGGAATAACTATTATGACTTGTTGCAAATATATTATTCTTGAAACTTCAAAAACGAAAGTACTACGAGACTAACGATGCCAGGTGATATTAAACTTGGAAGTTATAGTTTTTATATGTGAGCAATAATGAATTCAATTATTATGGTTTTTAAAACCTTCTAACTGATGAATTGTTTGAAATTATTGAAGAACAATAATCGAAACTCAAAAAAATGATAGAAAAAACTTTTGGGATGAGCACGGAAGTTTTTATAATGCTAAGATTGCAGGGAATAGTAACTAAACCGTAATCGAAAATTCCTGAAGTTAAAATTTTTAGAACGAACTAAAAAAACAAAAACTAAATTAAATTAAATTAGAATAGATAAAACTAATTAAAATAAATTGAAAAAAAAATCTTCTTGGTTGAAATAGAAAACCTTAAGAAACTTGGAAATTAAGCAAGAGTACAATTAATTCAAGTAAGTAACAGCAGAGCGGTTGAACCTGTTATATAAGAAGCTGTCGTCTTAATAGTATTTCGAAACTATAAATATTATTTTATATTATTTTTTTGTTAATATAATTAGCTTCTTGTTAAAAAAGAAATAGAAAAGTTGCACAGAGGGAGGGATATCTCCCCAGAACGTACTGTAGCATAAGAAAAAAATGAAAAACCAGAATCCATACTTTGAAGTATCCACTCTCAAAACCACAGAGAAAAGAAAAAGGGAAAAAAAGTAAAGAGGACCACCAGATATGCCATCTCAGAGACAAGGTGGCTGCTGTGGTTTCTCTTCAGACGTTACTTTTAGTTTTTGTTTCGAAAAAAGAAGAAGAAAAAGAAACGTTGGTGAATTCCGGTAGGAAAGATTTAATTGAAACAATTGATGGTGAATCTGTAGAGAAAAATCTGTACACGACAGGCGGAGAATAGAAGCCAACAGAAGTACTAGTAAAGTGCATTTGTTTGATTTCTTGGACAAAATAGTGTATGTAATAAGTAACGAGAATGGGGGGTGCGCCGGTGAGGGAGGAAGTAAATGAATGGATGAGCGGGGGATTTGGGAAAAGTAAAAACGAACACGAGATTTCTTGACAGTTGTTCGGTGGATTCTCTCGAGCAGTTATAGTCCTTTTTGACGAACGTTTAAAAAAGTGCCTGGGAATTAAGCCTCTCTTTTGGCTTTTTCCATTTTTATTTTTTTTGCCATTTCAGGTCTTTTTGCTGGGAAAAGGCAGCGAGATATACGGCTAATTCTTTCTTTTCTATCTCATTGTCGCCTTTTCTATTTTTGTTTCTTCTTTGATTTCTCTTGACAATATGTTTTTAGTGCCCTCTTTTGTTTTTTCCACCCCTCACACATCCAATGTTCTTCGTATATCTCTGTAGAACAGCATACCAACATGGTATCGGATCAAAGAAGAAGCGTTGATAGGGCCTTGCACAAAAATCTCATGCTAAGGCTATTGGCCAGTTTGACAAGAAAATTCTCAGAAACTTACGTATCCAATTGGATCACGTTATGTATGTCTTGTGGGTTGGCCCCTGTGCAGTTGTCTGAGATTGTTGAAAGAAAACGGAATTTCCATAGTATTTAAATTTATTTGCACCACTATGTATTCCGGGTAATTATTTTGTTTTGTAACGAATGCCCTCGTTTCTCTCTCACTTATTGTTTCTTTCTGTTCTTTTTTTTCTTTGAGTGCATAAAATTGGTATTACTTACTTTTGTCGCATCTTCTACTTGCCGCACGGCGTTAACCCTCTCTTATTATGTTTGAGCATTGAAAAACGAAAAATAATTAGTTGTAATTAGATGTGATTTGATGTTAATTAAAGATGGCTAACAGCATACCTCACTTTACTTTTTACTCCGGAATCCTACGGGATATTCCGTCAAAGAAAGCAGTACCTTTCCTCTTTGGGAAAAACTTTCTCGAAAAACATCTATTAAACCTTAGTTTCCCTTACCTTGAGGAAATCTTTTGGGAGGGTAAATTCCCCTTAAGGGTAAAAAAATTTGGGAGTGGCTGTGGTCCAAATGGGGTTAGCCCCCACCTCCAATTTTGGTTTCCTAAAAATTGCCGGGAAAAGGGCCCTGGTTTTCCCCGAAACATTTTTTTTTTTCCACCCTGTTTTTGTGGTATT